AAACAAATTAATAATAATCAGAAATTTAATTTGGAAATTAAAAAAGACGGATATAGGTATTTCGCACGATGGGCTGTAGATAAAAAATTGGGAAGGTAGAATATAGAGGGGAGTTCAATGTATATCTGTATGCAATGATGAATCATTGCTAACGAAAAACGATTTTGAGCGGAACAAAATACAAGTCTTTGAAATTTAAAATTTATCAGTCTAGTTTAATGTCCTTAAAACAGAATTGAAAAATGTTTACAGGTTAATGAGTAGTAAAGTGGACTGTGTTTCCGCGGACACACGGTAATTCTATAATAAAATTTACTTTCTATTAAAAATATCGAAGTATTGAATCGCCCATCTATATTTTATATGTCAGAAAATATTGAAATCTTCTCAGTGAGAAAAACGAATAAAAATTTATTGTTATGCTCGAAAAAAAATGCTGTGGAAAATCTTTGACTCGTAAAGGATAAAACTTGTTTTAACCGTAGAGTAGAAATGAAGGAATATAGAGAGCTGCAGATACTACGAACAGAAAAAAGAATACTTTTTAGATTATCATAAAACAGTGGTTTCCAACTTCTGTTATTTTGCTCTCCCCTTGTAGCTTTTTAAAAATCTCTCGCCCTCTTTCCCTTTTAAAAAACACCATGAATAAAAAGCCCATCAAGGCGTTCCCTGTCGTCTCTATCTAAATCTTGTTTGTAATCTTTATATTTTTATTGATACCCAATCCAGGTCATTATTAAACTTTTATTTTTTCTCTTTATTGTAAAATGCAAATAATTTAATAAATACAAATTTTACTTCGTGTGGACTGCTCGCACCTCTCCAGAAATGTGTACTCGCCACCCCCCCCCCCTGGTGGGAAACACTGTCATAAAAGAAGACTTTTAAAGATTTATACAAAATACACTTGATATTTTATGACATAATTCGTCGTCTAAATTCTTAAGGATTACCTATTAAGAGAAGTTAATAACAGAAAATGCGGCTTGTCATTAAATATTAAACTTATTAAAAAAATATTTTACCATTAGTTAATCTGAATAATCCATTGTGGCACGTGTTAAGCATAGATAACTAAAAATGTATCTAAATCAATGGTTCTTAAACTCTTTTATTCTATTATTATTATTATTATTTTATAAAATCTCTCACCCTTCTCCGCTAAAAACAATATGTATAAAAATAAAAGCCACCCGGGCCTCCGGTCATTTTTACCTAAGTATTGCCTTGCTTGTAATTTTTATGGATGTAGTTGATCCGGTTTATTTGGACGGTCATTATTTATTTTTTATTTTTTCCCTACATTGTAGAATAAAAATAATGTAATCAATATAAATTTTACTCCATGATGACTGTTTACGCCTTTCCAGCATTTTATCTATGAACAACATTTCTGAAAGTCATGTTGTTCCGATTTTCAAGTATAGCACTTATTCTGGAAAGAAATTACAGTAAGGTGGTACTTTTATAATAAATGGAAACATGTTTCTACTAAACAGGTTTCCATGTAAACAGGAAAATTTACAAAATGTATTATTTTAAAATTATAAATAATACGGCGTTTTAAAACACGTGTAACCGATCTCCGCTCAGAATCGATTTTGGTTAGCTAAGATTAATCGTTGCGTACAGATACGCATTACATTCCCTTCTATATCCCAACAAGTTATGAAAAGTATTGTATTTATTTTTTAAATACCTTGGTACCATAAATTGTAGTAACTAAGCAACAAGTCATTAATCGTTTTACGACTTGTGGTTTTCAATTCAATAATATGGACCTAACGATGTACAATATTACAAAGAAATTAATTATTTATACATATTATAATAATACTAAAGTAGTAGGGACCGACTGACTGAACGATGTATTAACATAGTGCCCAATTTCCAAAGTCATAAATATTGAAATTCAGCAATGAGAGTTTATTATGGTCACACAATGTTTCAATTTTCATTGCCGTTATAAGTGGTGGTGCCAGTTACTCTGAAACCAAAAGTAAAAAACCGATTTTCTGACGCTCTAGAGTGGATCAAACATTTTTCTTTGTGGTTACAAATTGTTACGTTATATATTAAATAGTATCAGTTGATTTTGAAGTTAACATTTTGACATGGTGGGGCCAATAATTAACGCACCTGTTTTTTTTTTATAAGCGTTTAAGTAAAAATTGTAATCGCAAAAGAAAATTGTGTACCAGCCTAGAACACCAGAAAATTGTTTTTTTACTAGTGGTTTCAGGGTAATGTTACTCAAAATAGCACTGACCCAGTTCACTACAAAGAAAACTTAGCAAACAATTGTTGTGCAATTTGTGGAAGTCCTTGCCGTTTTCTTTCTTCGATCTCTTTTTTGGACAGAACCAAGTGAACACACTCAGGGGTCAAAAATATTGGAATTCAGCACTGAGAGATTATCGTGATTACAAATTGCAACAATTTGTTATATTTATTAGTAATAGTTCCTGAGTAACGCTGCCCTGGCACAATAGCACCACTAGTAAAAAACCCATTTTCTGATGTTCTAGGGCTGTTCCAACAATTTGTTTTAGGTAACAAATTGTTACATAATAGAATACTAGTTACTTTTTAAGTCAATATTTTAACATGATGGTGCCAGGGTAACATACCTAAAAAAAATTAATTCATAACGCTCAAATTCTTAAATAGCGAAGGATCTATTGGTTTTACTATGAAGTGTGCTATTCTTTTTTTTTTATCCGTAAAAACTTTTCGAAAAAAAAACCTTGCTTTAATTTATTAAGTATAGTGTCTTTTCTGGAATGAAATTTTGCTTGGTTAGTGCATTAGATAATTTTTTGATCTTCCAAGGAGTTTTAGGAATAATTGTGAAAAACCCTAAAGAAAATTATGGGTAAAACGAAAAATATTTATAGCGTGTTACAGTGTTACCATTTTCATTGTTTTTAATTTGTTCACATGATGCGTTTTACCAGAAATATTGCTCCAATTGAAAAATTATAAAAGACCGAATTTGTTACTTTTAGTATTTCATTAAAAACCAACAAGAGATCTTTTTTGTTGAATTTTTAATCTAGTTACCAAAAAAAATCATTCTATATAATATTATTTAATTTATATCTATACACCTAACCATAAATCATTGTTAATGAAACACGATTCTGAGTGAAGTTCGGTTTTAAACAATTTGAAAAACCATTCGATCTTAAAACGATTATACAAATAAAAATACTACCCTCAGCTTATTTTTTAATACTAAATACAACCTCTATTGAACCTCATATTAAATATTCAAGCATTTTTATTCGATTAAACAATGTATCAACATAATACCTACTAAAGATAAAGTACGTAAAAACCTAAATAATTTAAATTTTCTAAAAATAACGTAAAAATATTTTCAGAAAATATTAAACAATTTAACACATCCAAAGAACGCCCATAAATAATTTTTATAAATGTTTTTAATTGAAATATAACAAAAAAAACCAAACTGGAAATAATGAAACAATTATTTTATTATTTTCTTAGATTTTCCCGTTTTTTATAATTTTTTTCCTGGTTTCACTCAATTAGTAAGAAAACTACTCGGAAAATAAAAAAAAAACCATAACTTAATCCAAAATACAACAAAATCGTCTTGACATTTTTCGATTGCAGAAAGTTTCCTATTCTAAAAATATTAACAAAACACACACACACACACACACACCACACTAAAACCTATATAATCAATGAAAATAATACTAAACATGTTTTATATATAGTTAATACTGCTACGTGACCTATGTTGTAGGTGAAATTATGAGATGTTGGGATACATAAATTCATTTATGTGTACTTGTAATCTTACAAAAAAAATAAAATACTGAGCAAAGTTTTGAAATCCATTTTACTCTGTTACCAACATTTTATCTTAAAACAATTATGAAAAAACAATGATTACATTATGTTCACCACTAAGTAAAACAAATAATGAACTTCGTTTTCAATTTTCAAACATTTCTGTTCTACCAAACCATTATATCCACTATCCATATTAAACCAAATAAAAACCAGAAGAATTAGGGGATTTAAAATATCTAAAAATAACTAAAAGGAATTAAACTAGTTTTTTCTCTTAAATTCGGTATAGGATTCATAATAAATAATATAATTGTTGCATTAATATCTTAATATCTTTGAATCGGCTAGTTTTTGTTAAATATTTTAAATAATAACACTATTATAACTTTAAGGTCATATTTAATAATAAAAAGTCCTTAGTAAGTCCTAAGTAAGTCGGCCGCTGAAAAAAAAACTTTTAATATGGTAAATACACGATTAAAATTATGTTTCATAATATTATGATGAATAATAATTTAAACAATTTTGAAAAATTAACAAAATGATTCGTATATCGACTTTCTATATTAATTACTAATTAAACATAAACACAGAATAGAAACGAATGGCGACATTTAATGCAAGATTATTAGAAGTAATAATTAGTCCGTTAGTATATCATTGAAATCATATTTTTAGAATGGAAGAATCGAAATTCATACGGTAGATATCCGGCAAAACAAGACTTCAAATCGTCTCTATGTCATTCAGTCGATCGACCCACATACAATAGATATTGCATGTTTCTACTTATTTAGTTATTAATCCTTCGTATATCTGTTTACAATATTTTATTATTGCATTCTTATATTATTACAATTAATTCTTAATCATCGAACGATATTATATAGCTTAATTTATGTTTGTATTATACGCTCACGAGGACAGCTTGTGTATTCCATTCGATAAGATTTCTACTTTTTAACGTGTATATTTTCTTGTAAATAGTTATGAAATATAAATTACGTGATAATGTAAATTGCTCAACCTAAATTTATCAATTCAAATATTTGTGTAAAATATTAATATTTTATTATTATATACAATACTGCAGTAGTATTTATTTATCTACAAAAGGCGATTAAATTGATTTTTTTTTTTAAAGATATAATATTCATATATAAATAAAAAAAATATTTGGCACGAGGAATACCACAGGTATATTTTTATTTGGCGTGTGACAGCTTACAGACTTATTAAAGTAAGTAGGTAACATTAAAATTGTTAAATAAGGTACTATTTTTGAATTTTTAATTATATTTAGAAATATTATTTGATTTCAAATACAACTATACACAAATTACATAATACGAATTTGTAAATAATTTCAATTTAATAAATTTGAGTTTATATAAAACAAATTAGTTTAGTAAAATCACACTATATTTTTTCCAGTTATTATCAATTTAAATAAAAACGAGTAAAATAGTTATGATTTTTAATATTTTAGTAATTTAAAAAAATTGATATGGTTTTAGTCAGTCAGTCAGTTTTATTTGGATACAGAATAATGATATTTAACGTGTGTTGGTTTATCGTATTAGCACACATTTGTGTTGCGGTTAATGGAAATTTCTATTATCCAGTAAAAAAACATAACGATGAGTGGTGGGCCAACACGATAATATACCAACTATATCCATTGTCATTTAAAGACAGTAACAATGATGGTTATGGTGATTTTAAAGGTAAAGTATTAATTATTATATAAAAGTAATATTATACACATGAAAAATAAAACCATGCAAGTTTTTTGATCCTTAATTATGTATTTTCTAGGAATTATTCAAAAGCTTGATCATTTTGTCGATCTTGGAATAGAAACTTTATGGATAGGTCCATTTTTCAAATCGCCTATGGAAGATATGGGATATGACGTGATAGATTTTAAACAGATAAATCCTTTATTTGGAACAATGGATGACTACAATGAATTAATTTCAGAAATGAAAAAGCGAAGTAATTATTACTCATTACTATGTATATCTCAAAATTATTGTTAAAAACCAAAGTACCTTCACGTAAAATCAAGACAGTAGTTTTTAAAACATATTTTTTTTTGTAGATCTTCATCTTATAACAGATATCGTACCAAACCATTCAAGTGATCAGTGTGAGTGGTTTAAAAAATCAATCAAAAGAGAAGGAAACTATTCTGATTATTATATTTGGCATGATGCTAAAAATCAAATGGAAGTCTTAAAAAATACCTCAATAACGCCGATACCTCCTAATAATTGGGTAAAAGCTTTTAATTTTCATTTTTAAATACAATGAAACCGTTACTTTTGTAAAATTTCTCGTTTTTCCTATGTTTTTTCTCTGTTTTGTCCAATTTATAGGAAAACAATACACGCGATACTAAAAAACGGATATCTTACTCAGACTTTAGGTTCGCATTCAGAAAGAGTGCTATTCTTGAAATTCGGATTAATAAGTATTCTAGTATTCGGATTCTAGTAGAAAATATCAATGGAAAAAATTTTAAGTAATGGAATTGACAAAGCTGTAAATCTGTTCATTTTATTTTATACCTTTTTCCGGTTCTTCAACTATATTAAAAACTGATAGGAAAATCAATACTACTATGTTCTTTTCCAGCTAGATCCAAAATTGAAGATTCGATTAGAGTACGATTTCTGGTAGAAAACATAAACCATAAAAACTTAAAACAATGAAATCGGGAACGCCGTGGTGTGCTTGTCCATTTTTTTTATAATTTTGTTCCAATTTTTTTCAACAACTTGAAAATTTTTTAGAAAAATCAAAAAATAATCTCCCTAATGTAACAATTAGAACCAAAATGCAATGAGAGAAAAATCAGTTGTTTTTTTTTGATGGAGCAAGTTTTCCAGTAGAAAAGATTTTTACAAATACAATATTTGAAATCTCCTTGTCAATATAGTGGATGAACAAGTTGGGTAGAGAACTCGATCAAAATTATCTAACTTTATTTTCCTTCATTAAAGGAATTCCTTCACCGCCTTACTGGGCAAGTTAAATAATTGTCTATCAAGTTAAAATACAAAAATAGAATTTTTACTTATTTAAACTATAACGATTTTTAAGAAATATAGTTAAAAACTAAGTGACATAAAAAATTATTGAATTGAAATATTAACTAAGATAGAAAAAAAAATTTGTTTAATACATGTTACTGAGATAGAAAATAACATACGTTATTTAATTGATATTTTAATGTCATTATTTAAATGGTAAACATCATTTCTAAAAATATCAAGTGAACTAGAGAGGTCCTTCATTGATTTTCTAAAGGATTTTCACAATAATTGGGATACACTAGAATGAAAATAATAGCTAAACGACAAAATTTACGGCACGCCATGGCGTTATAGATTTCATTAGCTCCATTTTTTACGCTTTGTATTTTATACCAGAAATATTGCTCCAATCGAAAAATTACAAATGATCAATTTTGTTCCTTTTAGCATATAACTACTGAAAATGAAAACGTTTTTTTATACCTAAAGTAGTTTTCATAATAATTGCAAAAACAAAAAGAAATATATTGATTAATATTTACGGAAACTTAAAAGGTTGTGGGACACCAAGCTATCGACGCCTTCAGAATCATAATAATTTAAAAAATAAAAAGTATGCTTAAAACAAGCAATGGGTTTTATTAATAATTCATATTTTATAAACAGGTAAGTGTATTTAGTAAAAGTGCATGGACTTGGCATAATGATCGTAAACAATTTTATTATCATCAATTCGGTTATAAACAACCAGACTTTAATTTGAGAAATCCCAAACTTCGTCAAGAATTATTAGTAAGTATAAGTATAGTAAAAAAAAAATGTTTGTAGAAAATTCCTTTATTTTTGTTTTTTTAAAGGACATACTTAAATTTTGGTTGGATAGAGGTGTTGATGGATTTCGGTGTGACGCTATGAAACATTTGTATGAATACGAATCATTAATCGATGAACCGTATTTACCTGGCAAAGAAGGTTCCCTTATCTATTCCGATATGATTCATAACTATACCACGAATCTACAAGAAGTCATTGATACTGTTATAGAATGGCGAGAATTTTTAGACAATTATACGAAAAGCAACAATTTGTCAGTTTCAAAGTAAATAATCTAAAAAGTGTACTTTCACTTCAATTCAAGTTTATAAGTTACTTTAATTTTATATTCATTCAAAATAATATATTTAATTAAGCAGTGACGTACCCTGAGGGGTTAAGGGGGGCTTCAACTCCACACCTCATTGTTCGCATTAAATTACAAAATAATGATATAAACTATTCTACATTTATAACTTATTAATTATTACCAATCAAATAATAATCTTCTTTCGGCTATAGATATTTTCAGCGCTATCGTTTCGGTAATAATGTGAATGCTATGGTGAAATTAAATTTATTATAAAATAAAATATAACTTATAGTAAATATTTAAGTGTACAAAATTTCTAAACTTACTAAATTTTAAAATAATAATTATTTTAATCCAATATTATTATACCTACTGTATTTCATCGTCTACACTACCTCGCGACTATAATTTATAATAAAACAGGTCAAATGGTCAAATCGAAACGTTCAGTAACGGATCGTAGCTCATAGGAAAGACTAAAACAAACTAGAGTCACGGAGAATCATATTTTTGATTAATTAGTCGATAGGTATGAAAAGAGTGACATCAATTTATTTATTAGGGGGAAATCTTATAATGTTAAATTCATTATTATTTTTTGAACTATTACTGTAATAGTTGGTTTTTTGTATGACTAATGATAATAATATTAAAATATCTTTCATGTTTGTACATGTTGTATAAAATGGAAATTTCGGTTTTACCAAATTGTAAGACTAAATAAAAAAACTAGGAAATTTGGTAGGATAATCATTAAGTCATATTTATTGGTAAAAAAAAAAAAAAAAAAACGAATGCAAAGTTGAATTTTTTTTTATAAGTGATTTAAAATCAATGTATTACGAAAATTGTAAATATTACGGCCTTCAAAACGTACAACTAAACTTGGTTCAGAATCGTTTTTCATTGCGATACTTTATCGTTGATTACAGGTATAAGTTAGATAACTTAATGTATCCCACCTTTTCAATTATTTTAATTTAGTTTATTATCTACACTATAATATACATTTTTGACCATACCTAAGTTACATATTATTTCATACTAAAAATAATTTCACCACAGCATGTTTTTTTCCTTTATCGCTGAAATGGTAGTGTTGAATCAGCAGTGTCCAAAAGTTCTAGACCCTCCTCTACAGTATCCTGTATTGGTATATCGTTCATACAAATTACTAATATGTTTTATTAGGATTTTCGCAACAGAATCGTATGCTCCACTGGATGTGTTAAAGCAATATTATGGAAATACGTCTTCACCTGGAGCACAAATACCATTAAACTTTAATTTGGTGAATACAAACCGAAACTATTTATTAAAAAACATTGATAGAACTATACGAGAATGGCTAGAAATTTTGCCCGACAACGGCGTTGCCAATTGGGATGTATGTATCCGAAAATGTTAATGATATATCTATTTACCTAATATTGTTTTACATTTTAAAATTATATTATGCAAATTCATGCTGTGAGCTATAATATTTTAATGTAAAAAAATTCAATTACAATGTCTAAATAAAATTAATTGTAATATAACTATAAAGAAAAACATATTAAAATTTAAAAACTATTTGTTTAAAAATTAGGTTGAAAATCATGACAATCATAGGATAGCATCAATGTATGGTCCTGAAACAGTGCCGTTATTTACTGCCCTGAAATTGGCTCTACCCGGTATTGATATAACATATTATGGTAGTGAAATTGGTATGGTGAATACATACGTAAGACCGGATCAAAGACAAGATCCTCAAAATGCAGGTGGTTCTAGTTTTGAGGAAACGAGAGATGGTGAAAGGACCCCAATGCAATGGGATGATTCAATAAACGCAGGTTTGTAAAAAATATAACATACAAATTGTAATATATAATTTTTTTTTTTAATTATTATTACAGCGCTATAATTTAAATATTTTTTTAGTTAAATTTTTATGTTAAGGAATTTTAAATAAAAAATTTAAATTCAAGAAAAAAATCGAGATAGCCTTTTTATTTTTTAATTGGAAAGTAATAAAATATAAAAATTAAAGCACAGAGCTCTATTAATTATTACAAAGAAAAAAATAAAAAATAACCAAACTTAAATGCTTGAAAACTTAACAGAAGGTTCATAATAAGTCATACTTTATGGCTTGAAAAACAAATTGAGTGTAATGTAGAATTCTAGATTCCAAGCGTAGCAAGGGAGCTATTGGTTTTACTAAGATGTTTATTTTTTTTTCTTCTTCTAGTCTGTGAATTCTAAGTCTAATTCTTCTAGTCTGTGTATTCTGTAAATGTACAATTTCACGATTTCATTATTTTATAAAAACACGAACGTTTTCTATCAGAAAAAATGATTTAATCGAAAAAATCATAATATTTTTTTTGTTCTCTGTTTGATTTAATTTCTTACAGTATCGTTGCCAAAACTTTTGAGCAATTTTTGAGCTTTAAAGGAATTTTAATTTTTGGGTGTTTTTTTACAGCAGTTATAAATACACATAAAAACTTGAAAATTGGTAATAATACTTATATTAAATTTAACTAGATGTGGTAAAATGTTTAAAATCATCAAACAACGATATTTTTTATCAAAAAATTATTGCAAATTATTGCAAAAAAAATTACGGCACTTCAAATTATGTACTACCGAACTGCGCTCGGAATCGTCTTTCGTCAAGCAATGATTTATCGTTACTTACAGATATAAATGACATAACCTTATGTATCCTACCTTCCTAACTTCTCACCTCCAACAGTTGCCACTCCTATTCTCAGTATCACCTTTTTTTAATTATAGTTAAAGCTGATATTGTCGAATTCTTAAATTTGTCATACATTTTTTTTTAATGATTTTAGCAACAAATTTTGACGATAATCATAAATATTACGGCTTTTCAAAACATATATTATGGAACTCCACTTAGAATCCTTTTTCGTTAGCAAATATTAATCAGATATACATTAAATTCGCATCTATATTCTATACTTTTCCAACTTCTCACGTATAACAGTCACCTACCCATTATGTGAATTATATCGAATTATATTGAAAAACTCAACGTCTTGCCTCCGAAGTATTTTTCTCTATTGATATTATAATAGGTGTTTTAACTCTGAGACTCTAAAATTAAGCGATTTCTGTGTAAGCATGTTTTAACTATATTGTGCGTTTGTAGACTACATGTGTAGCGTCTTCATAAATTAAAATTACATAATAACACAATACAAAACTCAAGTGATAGTATACATTATACATACTCATAGATGTGCCAAATCTTCATAGCTGTGGAGACTGATTGTGAATTTATATTATTTTCTAAATAATATCTGAAACTCAATTTTCGTTATCTGAAAATTTTAGCAACTATCATTCTTTTATTATGCAAAATGATTTTTTCTTAATTTTAAAATCATAATATCATTCCATGTTATTATATGCAATTATTTATTAACACATAGGTAAGCCTAACAAATAAATTATAAAAATACATATTATTATATTATTATATTATATATACATAAATAAATGTTAATAATTATTTAAGGTTATCTAGCCATCTTGAATATATTACTTTATTGCTAAATTTGGTCTTATAATAATAAAATCATATTTAAAAATATTTTTTTACAATTCTTTTTGCTTATCTACGAATTTAAGTATTTTAAAAGTTTGAAAACATATTTGTAATTTATGTTTCTTTTAAAATCTGAAAACCTCTGTGATATTACCTGGGGACCCTTGACTGTTCATCCTGAACCTATACAAAAATTAGGTTATCAAAAAGTCAAATTCACCAGTATGAAAGATAAATAATACATTTTTTATTTATACATATTTAAATGTTAAATAAAGGATTCACAGAAGCGAAAAAACCGTGGTTGCCAGTAAATCCAAATTACTACAAATTAAATGTCGAGACACAGAAAAAAATCCCAACAAGCAATTATAATTTTTACAAAAAAATGGCTCGGCTACGAAAAACGGATACATTAAAATACGGTGACTTGAAAACCTATAACGTTTCAGAATCAATTTACGTTTTAAAAAGGTAATTTCAAAAAATGTGATAGTTTTTTTTTATGGCTCTTATAAAAATAATATTGTTTTATCGGTTCGTTTATTTCTAGAGCTTTATCGGAACACGAATTCTACGTATTTGTGTTTAACTTTGGCAGTGAAACCGAGGAAATTGTTTTGTCTAATATCGTTGATATTTCCAATGATAAACTCTACGTATATTTAAGGAGCGCAAATGCATTGTACAGCGAAGGGTAATAATAATTTTTAGATTTTTATTTTATTTCTTTACATACCTAGATAATTTTGAATATCAATTTTAAAATTGAATACTTCATTAATTTATAATATCATCGTGTGTTTTAGAAATGCAATATTAATAAATTCTTCTGTGAAACCATTGATCATGCGACCTCAGTCTGTAGTTGTATTGACGGATAAAGAGATTTCTGCCGACGATTCAACGAAATCTAGTAGTACAACTCGAATTTGTTCTAAATTATTAATTACATTATGTACTTTTTTCTTAACTAGATTTTTGTTATAACTTATTTCTCTTTGTGAATATTTTCTTTTTTTTATATATATACCTATGTTGATTTGTATAATTCAAAAATATTTAAAGTTAATTTTATATTTTTGATTATGTGAGCAGCAATATGTATAATCATGACTTTTTATATAATGCCAAAGAATTGTATACCTAGCCATTTTTAAAGAATTATATAATTTATTTTATTTTTTTTTTTACTTACGATTCCTAAGTAATTTATGTAATATAAATAAGCATTTCATAAAACTATAAATCAAAATTAGCAATTAATAAATTTGGAAAATCACTAGGAAAATCCATTTCCTTTTATCATTAAGATATTAATCTAAATAGAGTTAATTGTATTATTAAAATAAATATATTTATGACAAAGTATTATTCATTTTTATCTAATTAATTATTTATGAATTGCCAATTTAATATTACAAAATTATTCGATAATAAACATTTATTTTAAATGCTGTTAAGACAATATATGTATTAAAAAAGTATTTTCATAAAGACTACTATCATTTAGTTGTTACAATGATTTATAATATAAGGATATTATTTTGAATTGCAATGCATGTTATTTTTCAAAAACCTACATCGATTATTTTGCCATTTTTTTTATACAGGAACATAATATACTAAATCATTTAATAAATTTCGCAATTTTTCATCAGTTGAACCAGTCGTTCATTATCCATTATCCATTTCATCAACATATTTATTTATTTATGTAAAATATAATAGTATAATATTATTTTGAATTACTTGGTCTGCCTGTTTAACACTTCCCCGACCGTGGAATGTTTTAGATGATTTGATTCAGACCAATAATTTTTCAAATAAGATGCTATTATTTATTAGGAGCAATAGTCGAATTTGTTGGAGCAATTTTTTTGTACAATGTATAAGGAGTTTCTGCAAAATACATGTATGAATTCATACTTACTATGTTAATCCTATACTTATGTTTTATAGCCAAATATAGGTACTTTGGCAAGTTCCTACTTATATACAAGCTATATATATATAACTATATGCCATACAGCCAAACGAATATACGATTACGAATTACAAAATGCAATAATCTATAACTAAAATATATTGATATTATTCTTAAAATATCGTGTTATAACCCAGTGTTTTCTAATTTATTTTACTCACGGAACCTTTTCAGGAACTTAAATATTTGGCAGACCCCCATCTTGTTTTCATAGCCACATAACGCAGACATTTGGACACTCAAAATAATGAGCAGTCCAAGACTTCCGGTATTGTTGTAATCAATGTCCATGGAATTCTAGAACTAATCAATTTTATTTATAAAAAATAATTAAATCGAAAATGTCGTTTACTAATTTATTTTTTCCAAATTCCTCATGGCACCCTTGACATTGGTTATAACCAGTAGTTTTATCGCTATCAGTTATTTTTCAGAACCGTTGTGTTGAGAAAAATATGAACTTCAGTTTTTTGAATCAACGTGTAATTTCAATTTACATCTCGCGTGTGAACGTATTCCGTGGGGCGTGTGTGATTTTGAGACAATTTTGATACTTTTTTTATTTAATGATCAATCTGTAAATCTCAAGTACCTCATTTCTTTTCGGCTTAAACTTAATTTTATGTCCTTGACAATTAAGGCCGATCCAATCTAGTCTTGTCTTAAATTAAACATTTGTTTCTTCAGTTTTCTATTGAGAAATATTTCGTTTTTCATCGGTTCAGCTAGATCTTTTTTCGGTCCTCTCTCCAAGGTTAAATAGTGATTTAAGTATTTAGGTATTTCTCCGGCAACCCCCCACCAAACAGAACCGATGGCGTTAGTGTCATATACACATTACTGTCCATATAATTACTTAAATCGGACGACAGTCATTTAATTCGTAGCCTATTGGCCTTATCATATACTTTTATATTGTGATGACCGTTGAACATGTCTTTTTTCTATTGTTATCACCATAAGGCATTTGACTTTAATTCTAAAGGGGAGAGAGGGAAGCAAAAACTAATCACAATTTACGAATTTAATAATATATTCACACATAGTAACATGGCGTATTGATGTGTTCTTGTGCTGTTAATTCGAGAATGAACTAATCAAAACCAGGTGTACAATCAAACTGCTATAGCGAAGATCCGATGTAGCGAGGAGAGTAGTGGTATATTAATAACACGCCGCGCGCCGTACCACCACGAAAATGACACTCCATTACTCTCCTCCGACCAAAAACTTAAAAGTGGAATATTTCAAGTTATTCGATCTCGATCGAAATCGGCAAGATTTCGGGTCAAAATGTTGTTTAAAAACAAGCAAAATAAATCGATAATAATCCTTAAAATATTTTATCGTTTATCACTGATCACCCAATTTAACTATGACATATGTCATATTGTAGCTGTGGAGCACCAAGGGGTTGAAAAAAAAAAGGCTTGTACATTGAATTATGCGGGTGCGTATTGATTGTATGATATCATTGTATATGTTTTTAAAAATTTCGGCGCCACATATTACACTAGAATGAAATGCAAAAATCAAAAAAAGACAATTTTTCGTGTTATGATGTAATAACGGAACTTTGTAACGTTACGACATTTCGATATATATTATGTATTACATTAAGCAGCATTATTGATTTATAATATTATTATATAATAATATAATTGAAATATTGAGCCAACCTTTGTGACAGGCACATAAAGGCTTATTTCAATGTATGAAAAGTAAACGAACATTAGTGTGTTTGGTTTAATCCATGTACCACATTTTAAATTTAAAAGTCAAATAGCAACTATAAGGGTCGACATCTGTTTAGTGTTCTGAAAGGTCATAAGCCCGTAAATTTTTAGAATTATTAACAGCGAATTAGACAGATCTACAATCAACAATAATCTTAACAAATAGTTAAATCGATTTTTATTTTCGACATTATAGATAATTGTTTATTACGTCAAGAGTGCCATAAATAATAACCGTATAGTAATTTAAGTTTAAAAAGAACTTTAATTAAATGCCTTTCAAGTTTCTTTAAAAATACAATATTAATTTCATAATTTGGTAGTGAAATATTTACTGTTGTAGTTTCCAATCGAAAGATCATGGCCATGAACTTGATCCACCTACTTTATCCAATCTGTTTCAAATGTATGCCAAAAAATAGCGAATAATTAGCAAATAATACTGAGTTGGCATTAAAAATAAGTGAGTAAAATGTTTATAATAAAATTTAAAATTACACAGGGTGGGCCAAGTTTAGGTAGCCCCATTCACTTTATTCGATCCACTCAAAAATTATTCTAAAAATAGCAAGTAATTAGCAAACAATAAGAAAATTTGTTTTAAAAATTAGCAAGTCATTTTTACTTTTTATACGATTTTACGAGTGCCGTCAACATTTAGTGTTCAAACTCTTATAAAAAAAAATAAAAAAAAAAAATATAACTTCAAAGTAAATTTTTTTTACTACTAAGTATGACTTACAATGCACATCCTATTCAATTGTCAAGCATTTATGTTACGTCTAACAATTTATCTACAGAGTGGCTACCAAATAGATATCACGTAAAAAAATCGGAAAATTAAAATATCTTCAAATAACTAAAAAATTACTCAAATGTTTGACAAGCCTGGTTTACAGCAGTTAGTCACCGGAGATAATCTGTTTTCCTAACCGCGACTGATCGCCGCAGCTTTAAACAAAATAGTATAACGTCCGCCATCAAGTGCCTGCGCCGTATTTTAATAAAACCCATTCAAGTCCATTCGCCGTAAATCTACTGAGTGACGTATTTATCAGCTCAATCGTCCCGTGTAACACATATTTTATGCAACCGTGTTATTCGAGAGTCGACAGCCACGGGCGGTATAAACGCACTCGTGCCGTCCAGAAATCGAACGGGTGGGACATAAAAGCCGCAAAAAAAAAAAAAAAAAAAAAAAACAAAACGAAAAACAGTCACCTGGCCCACACACACTGGTGCGTGCGGTTCCGTTGGATTTTTTGGAATGTCTCGGACATTGTTTTTGTTCAACGCGGAAAACCTATGCGTGCCCACGGGACATCGGACTTCCTGGTGGGTGACTAAGATTTTAGCGCGTGTTCGCGGGTTTTCTGTACTTCGAATATGACGCACGCTCCCGGACGATTGGCTTCCAAGTGTGCACCTACCTATTGTTGCTGTAGTGTTTTAATCGATGCGTTTTAAACGATCGGGTTTTTTTTTCAGTTTGATCCTTTACGGCCGTCGCACGTGTGGAAAAAAAACACCAATGCCAAAACGTCAGATTGGCGGTTATTAGGTTAGGTTAAACCACATCGTGGTTGGTCGAATTGACGGGAGATTTTTCCGCGACCCCTCCGCCGCCGTCACGGTGGTCGTTTAACGAGTGCATTAGATATATTATTATAATGTTCAATTTTCACGATTTTAAGACCGCTGAAAATTCGAACTTTTAACATTATTATTTTAATTATAAACACAAAAACAATTTTAATACCAAAGGCGTACCCTATAAATAGTATCGTGATCAAACGGATTCACAGAAAAATTATATTGATTTTTTTTTTTTAAAATTACCCACCTATATTTTCAGAGTATAATAATGTATGACAGTAACGATTTAAACAGACGTCGAAGAAGTTTTTTCTTAGAACAATCTCTAATAGAGTTTGATTTTAAAATTGTTTGATATACAATATTCATAAAATATTATTCAGAGTGTAAGTACCACGCCGTGTATAATGGAATTCTCTAGAGTTATTAGAAATTTAATTTTTAGTTTTTAAGTGGAGCAAAAAAGCTTATAGTTTTACAAAAATGTTTATTTTTTTATTATTTTTTTTTTAACTGTGCGCAACTTTTTTACCAGAAGATTTGCTCAGATTTTTAAGTGTAGCGCTTTTTCTGAAAGCAAATTGGTATAGGGAGGTACTATGAAAAGGTAATTTTTTCATTTCCTTTAGGAGTTTTTTCATCAAATTTGAAAAAAAGAAAAATATAAGAGATGTAGATATTAGTTAAAATATGGCCTTTTTTTTTCTGTGCACTGCCTTTCAACTTTTAATAATAGCAATGTTTCTAAAAAGAAATTTCACTTTAGAGTGACTTTAAAGAGGTTATTTTTCGATTTCCTTAAGATTTTTCCCAGAAAATATAAAAAAACCGTGTTAAAACCGCGAGAAAACCGGGAAAAACATAGGAAAACTGGGAAAATCGGTACCACATTAAACAAATATTATTAAAAAAATATATAAAATCTATTTGATTATTTTACTATAATGTAACATATATATTGTTGACAAAGAATCACTATCAACTCTTAAGGCAGCTGGATGGCTCGTGCCTCAGCCTCCCTTGTCCTCTCGTTCTACTCCTTGTGCCTTTTACTTAGAAACTATTCATCGGATTTGAACTTGTGATACATTGCAATTTTTAGAAAAATATATTTTACAAAATGGCAACCAAGAAGTTAATTTTTTTTTTTTTTTAGATATTTAGGGGATGAAAATAAAAATTTAATTTTACTTCAAATCGATGTCCTTCTCGATGACGTAA